GGGGGATAGAGCGGGAGCCGGTGCAGCAGAGAGTTGTCTCCCCTGTGGCCAGGAGGTTGCAGGGGTCAGCTCCGGCCCTGGATGAAGAGCTTGGGTCTGGCAGTGGCCATGGGGCTCAGGATCCAGCAGCAACAGCTAGAGAGCTCCAGCCTGGGGAGCCATGGGCAGGCAGGCAGCAGTGGTGCCGGACTAAAGCCCTAACAGGGGCAAGAGTTCAGCATGAGCCATGTTAGGAGGGACCTTCCCTGGTCCGACAAATCCCCTCAATCCTCCGGCCCTGGATGAAGAGCTTGGGTCTGGCAGTGGCCATGGGGCTCAGGATCCAGCAGCAACAGCTAGAGAGCTCCAGCCTGGGGAGCCATGGGCAGGCAGGCAGCAGTGGTGCCGGACTAAAGCCCTAACAGGGGCAAGAGTTCAGCATGAGCCATGTTAGGAGGGACCTTCCCTGGTCCGACAAATCCCCTCAATCAGGACCAGTTGGGTCCCCAGGGTGCTGGACGAGGGAGGTCCAACCTGTACTATATATTTGCGAGAGTTTGTCTGTCTGTCTGAGTGAGTGACCGTGTCTGTCAGTTTGTTCAAGAACTTCTCCTAAACAGTAAGAGCTAGGACCACCACATTTGGCACGCTGCTTCCTCTTATCATAACTTCAAGCAAGGAAAGGGTTTGGTTGTGCATGGGAGTGGGGCCTGAAGCTTTCCTCCCTCCCCCCATGTGTACAGGGATACATAAGAGACAATCTCTAGGCAGGTGAAAGGGGTTGGTTGGGGGTGTGCCAATCCCATCTGGGGCTGCCCTACACCCAAGCATTCTTCCCCACTCCCAGGCGCCCTTTTGCGGGGGGAGGGAGACCTGCAGCCGACCCCCCCAGGATCATTGCTGGCTGTTCTCCATTCCTCACCCTGGCTGGGCAGTGCAGGGGGCAGGCGAACCTGGACCTGCCTCAGCCGGGAGACATGCACCCCTCTTTTGACTGTGCCTGCTGGAGCTGCAATGGCCCTGGAGAGGCACTTCTCACCTGGTCCCAAGCTGCTGCAGTGAGAGGAATTTGGGGTAGTTCTGTGACCGTGGGGCAGCCTGCACACTGAACCCCTCCTCCCCAGACCAACGATTTAAATGAAGAGAAACAAAAAATGAATTGTGTTAAGTATCCAAGTGATGCTACTTGCTCATAAATATTGAGTTTAGAAAGAAGAAAAGCTCTCACAAACGAAATCTCAAATGCATTTCATACAAGTAAATGAAGACATCACTGCAGTGTGTTACATTTTCTGAAGTCCTTTGGTGTAAAGAACCACACAGGACAGAAAATCAGAATTGTGACTAAAATGTGAAATATCAGAAGATAATTTTTTTTAAAGTGTTAAAAATGCAAAAGAAAAAGAAAACCAACTGCTTCCATTGAAGGAACCGGACAGGAGACAACAGAGGAGAGCTATTCACTAATAGCCAGGGAAATAAATTACATTAGCTGGCCAGGATCCATCAGGAAGAACAGAGGCTGTTTTAGGGATAATATGATGGACAGATTAGCACTACACTTTCTTAAAGGAAATGAGGCCAGCTAGAGATTTCTGACCTCTGACTGTCATAGGGGGTAAGAACCTGTCTGACTGATTTCCACATAATGCCAGATACTTGGAAGTGTTATATAACCCTTCTTTGTCCCTCTAAACAGCCATTGATTTGCTTTGTTTACATACAAATGCAATCTGTTAATTACTTGGTAATAAAATATGGAGACACACTGCAGCTCATGTTTAACTGGAGATCACTTTTAAAGGTTAAAATATTAGAATTTTTCCAAGACACATTTTCTTCATGTCAGACTCACTTTAAAAATGGCTAAACTTTAGCAAATCAAGACGCCACATAAGCTCTCATTGTCATAGTACCGGAGCACCTCAAATATAAAAGGGTTTCGCCTCTCAGCACCCATGAGGTGACCCTGTTTAAATCAAGACTTTTTGAACAAACCATATTTCTAAGACTTTAAAGTCAGCTGTATCCTTAGAAAGCCAACCTAATTTTCTAAACTCTGTATGAAGTCACATAAGCACACTTTCAGAGTTAAAGAAATCCAAGAATCCAAAGTGAGTCAGTTTGTGTGTAAATAATCTATGTCCAGCTACAATCACTACCTAGACAGAAAAATCTGAACTACTATCCCAATTTTCATAGATCTGTCCTGCAAACCTGGGACAATCAGAGTCCTTATTTTATTCTGAGCCATGCAATGCAATAAAGTGAATTTAGGTTATCCATAGGAACATCACGGAATTTCTCAAAGACACTATAGAAACCAAACCATGTACATTTTTAAGGGCACGCTGAAAGACATTTTCAGAAGCATAAAACATTCTGTCAAGTAGTAAATTTTATATTCTATTTGTAAGAGTCAAGGGAATGTAATCAAAGATTAGAAGTGTGTACCTTGGCAATGACTGTAACAAAATCCTTGAAGGTCTTTAGCTCAGCTCCCTCAAGCGTCTTGTGAGTGGCAAGCTCTACCCTGAGCAGGTAATGCAATCCTGATTCAAGGTCAGCCATGTACAGCTTAGCTCTGAAACACACATATATAATGTTAAAAATGGAGGCAGCTTTTTTTCCACTCATTTTCTCACCCATCATTATGGAAAAATTGATATATAGTGGGCACTATTCAAACCTCGTAATCTGCAATTCCACAGTGACTGCAGTATCTCCTATTCCATACAGTGCAGTGTCTAGCAGGGTGAATGTCAAGTTTAATGGTTTCCAGTGTACTCTAATTTTAAAGCAGCAATTTTATGCCAATAGTTCAGGGACTAGACAAATGAAGGACAATTGCATAAAAGGTTATCTTGTGTTTGAGTAAGAACCTTCTATCTCCAAGCCCAACTTCTCGCTCTAGAGAAATCGTAACCCTGACGTACTGTCAGCAAGCTAACTACTGGAGTCACAACCTGTGACTTCTCTACATGGTTAATATAAGTAAAGAACAACAGGCTGTGAGGGAAAATCCTTCTCTTTAACTGAAGTATCTTGATGAGGAACAATGGCAAGGAGACGGATGATAAAAATGAAGAGAACCCCCTCTTAAGAAAGATAGAATTTAGAAATTCTTTCCAAATGCAGCCATCCCGCACTAGAGACACACTGTGCACCATAACATATTTCAGAGTCAGTTACAGAAGGCCTTGTTGCCTGCTGACCACATTTGAGGTGACTTGAACATCTACATTTACCTTCCTCAACGCAACAACGATCACGGAAAATTAATATTTCTATATTTACACCACCAACAACAGACAAGCAATTGAACAAAACAATTTAGGAGTTTGTATCCTGCAGTGCTGATTACAAACCCAGGTTAGTCCAAAATACAGCAACACAGCATAACAAACAGAAGTGAATATAGACCCGACAGCTGATGTTTCAAAAAATTCCTTAGGACCCTTATGTCTTACATTGTTAAAGAGTAGAATTAAGAGCACCAATCAATTAGAAAACCAGCTTCATCTGACATCAGTGGTTTCATAATGATACAAAAAATATCTTAAAATACACAAAAAGCTGCAGTGGAGAACTGGGAAACTTTAGATTTATTTTATGTAAAAAGGTGTGACTTAGTTTCCCCTTGTATTGTTCTTCCACATTGAGAGGGGATAATTTCTTTTTTGAGACAAGGGAGTGACTAAGTGGAAGTCAGCTAAGCATGAAAGAATTATCAGGAACTAAAAATACTGTGGAATAAAGTAGGCAGGTATACAAGTCTGGAAAAAAAACGACACATGAGAAAAAATGGACTATCCTGCTTTGAACTGATTGAAAGAGGTTACCAAAGGACTGGAAACTGTATTAAATGCCAAGCCTGCTATAGGAGAGAGGTCACACTTACTGGGCTCCAGAACTGACAGAAGACTGTGACACGAAAGACACAACCTGCAGAAAATGTTTGAAATCTATCAGCATCTCCATATGGAAGATAAGTGATATCTGGTAAGGGAGATAGGCCTAGAAGGCAGGTATGGTATTGAAGATCTATTTTCTTTATTTGGAACCAAAAGCATTATAAACACTTTTATTTATGAAGTCTGGCTAGACACTGATGAACTCTGCCATAGCCCCTGGGAGCGAAGACAGCAGATCTGAGTTTAGTTCAGCACCTGACAAGAAGGTGATCACAGTGAAGAGCAGAAGGAATTTTAGCCTAAATCCCATCTGGAAGGGGAGGTGATAGCTAATGGAGGTCATGAAGGGGGTAGAAATACAGGTACTCTGGGAACTGTGACAGCTGCATTCTGAACAATACAAACTATAGACATATGCCAAGTGTCACCTCTTCAGTAAACAATGTATTCACTTAAGTATAAAAAAAAAACTTTATTAGTAGGTCTGCTGACTTTTTAAACATGGTTGTCAGTATTAAATCATCAGGCATCCAAACATTCTAGCTGGGAGATATTTATGTAATGTTCTTTTATAAAAAAATTGCATTGCAGAAGCACCAAGATTGATAGAATCGTTCATGTTAATAAGATACTCTTTAGCTACAAAAATCAGTTATCAAAACACAATACTCTATATGAGCTGTTCAAAGAAAATAACAGCCATCTGTTAAAAAAGAAACAGGGCTGACACTTTAATAGTAACCATAACAAAAAATGAAAATAAGTACAAAATGGAAGCACTTAGTCCTACATCTTTTCCAGCTAAAGATGCTGAAGGATTATCTCATTGCAAAGCTCTTGTATCCTTCTCTCAAACAGTCAGGGTGAACATAAACCTAAGTGGATTTGGTTTGATAAACATCTTTTCTGGTGACTTTAGGGTTCCCTAATGTATGTGCATTTACCTAACACTTTCTAGCGTTCACTCTCTCATCATTATACAAATAAATATTGGGTTTGCTGTTTTCTGTAGGTTTGCCAAAAGCTTATTGTCAAAATTATTTTCGTACGGACTTTATTTTTATCTGGGATATTGACTTATGAGCTAAAGTTTTCCAATAAAAATTATACTAGTGAACTATACATTTCAGATTCGGGTTGGACCCTCAATCTTGCTCACACTGGTAGCAATGGGAGCAGAACCGAGCCCTGGGTTTTTTAAGCAAAGCATATGTTTAAAATAAAAATAGTCTCCAACACAACTTCATTCCTGAGAAATGAATAATACACCAAATGCATATTGAAATATTGTTTGGACGGTTCTTTAAATCATCATTCACGGGTACAAGAAAGGTACATTCACTAAAGAGAGTATTACACCTTTGCTGCTATGGCTGAATTAATTTAGCAGCATTATTTTAGTATACTGTGAACAGGAGCCTGCTGAAGACACAAATTAAAGCAACGCTCTGCAACGTGATCTGCAAGACATTACAGTGCTAGGATCCCTTTAATATTCACATACAATCCTTTTATTGTGCTCAGCAAGTCACCATGTGGTGGTTCAGCTACTTGATTCTGGATGTATCCTTTGAGTTATTATAGACTCAAATAAAGCTTTCAGCTACAAGAAGATGTTAAAACATGTTATTTTATACCTGCCAGTTGGCAAAAACAACTGTAGATTTTAACTACCAACCATTAAATTGAAGCGCTACAGCATCACTTACTTATCAAATTCCTTCCACGCCTTAATTTCTGTGCTCTCCTCATTTTGCTTTTTTGGTAGTGGAAGTTGTGAAACAAGTTTTCTTTTCACACCAGGCAGTGACTTTAAATAGGAAGAAAAGAAAGACCGAAGAGGCTTCAAACTGCATATGAAAGAACAACGTAAGGGTTAAAAATCACCTCAAGCTAAACAACTGACAGGAACAGTTTACTATATCAGTTTACAATTCTGGTAAAAAGGCAGCATGTTTGATGAGAATTTTAGAAGCAGGAGCAAAAATAATTCGGATCAGTGGCTTGCAATACTAGTCAAGCTAACAGCAACATGCCATTTTTATAAAGACTTCAGGTCATATTTGTACACCTTATACAGCAACGCTTCCACTGAATCCAGCAGAAGATTGATCGAAGAGGATCTGTGGGATTTGGTACTCGATATTTTTATTTTAGATTTGCCCCAAACCATACATAATTCTTCTCACATGCATCACAGTAATGAGTCAGTGATATTGACTAGTGGCAGTAGGAAACCCAACTAATACAGAGTCTCTTCCCAAAACCTCAATTTCATCTTATTTATCAACATCACTAGACTATCAGCATGTCACTAGCTATTGCTCAACAGTTTACATTTTCTGAATGCTTTCCACTGACACTAGAATTTCTATTTCACAGATCAACCATTCTTCTTTAGTGCTTATTTTACAAGCAAGTTTGTGAGCAGTCTAAACTCACCACGGCAGTCAAGTTATAACTAATCATTACAGCATTTTGTTTTTTCCCTCCCAGGTGAGGGAGGAATCTATTTTTGGTTCCCTTAGTCCATTTCAATCTATTGTAAACTCCTACAAAAAGAGTCAGCTGTATAAGAAGTGTAAGACTATTAAATACAAACAGGATTTTTTCATTCGCAATGGAACAGCTGACAGAACAATGTTTGAGATAGTCTCTTCAAGTATGAAGTGTCTGAACATTACATTTCAATCAGTCAAATGCACTGATCACATATTGGGAAACATTACCTTTATTAAATACACAAATAAAACCTAGTTATCAAATAAAGTAACCTGTATGCAAGGAAACTAAGGCAACGGTTTTAAAGCTTAACTGAACCCCTCAAAGCACTGCAAGTATCCCTTACAGATATATAGTACTTACATGTTAATTAATCCATGGGACCCATTTGGATAGATCAGATAACATGAAGGGATTGAGGTAATACCAAGTTTCTCTAGAAAAGCCTTATCAGAATTCAGCACTCTCTTTACCACAATGTTTTCATACTGAATCAAATCTAAGATCACCTGCACAATGAGAAGACAACACACAAGTTACACACTGCTCAAAGAATATCTCGTTCTCGGAAGAACGAACAAGTATATTACAGGGAATAAACCATACTTAAGTAAACTAGCTGGTGATAGGAACACCTTATAGTGGTGACTAGTATATATGTATTAGTATTCCATGGACACTAGCAACTTCTGTTGAACAAAAATTTTATTTCTGTTTTTTCTTGTCTTCTGAGCTATATGATTTTTCCTTAGCCCATCCTGAATATCCCCCCCCCAAAACGCATCTGTCTGAAGAAGAGAGTGACAAAACACCAGGTAGAAGCCACCAAACACAGGCTATGTCTAGACGGCAGACTTCTTTCAGAAGAAGCTTTCCCGGATGAGATCTTCCAAAAAAACTTCTTCCAAATGAGCGCATCTACACTGCTCGAGCGCATCGAAAAAGCGATCTGCTTTTTCGAAAGATAGCATCCATTCAGTGTGGACGCTCTCTCACATTTAAACTGTAATTACTGTGGACGGAGTGGCCACCAGGGGGCACCTGTACTTTTTCCGCTTTCCTCTTCCTCTGAAAGAGCTCCCTCTTCCCCATCCACACACACCTTTTTCCAAAAGAGCTCTTTCAGAAAAAGGCTTCTTCCTCATAGAAAGAGGTTTACCAATGTCGGAAAAGCCCCTCTGTTCTTTCAATTTTTTGTCGAAAGAATGTGATTCCAAAAAAACCCTCTGCAGTGTAGACATACCCATAGATGAGAAGATGATATTTGTCACACACCCATTAGTTTCAGATAACATGTTACATATACAACAAGGATTTTAAAGCCAAGTTTTCAGACACTTGCTTCTATTTTTCTGAGCTCAGATAATTGTGGGGACAATTATTTGACTTTACAGATTAGGTATCATTTAGATATCGAAGTTTATGATGTGTGGACACAATAAAAGGACTTGCACGTCTATATCACTTGAACATTAAGCACCAAAATTATGCCTGCAATATGCAGGCCCAGTTAAGATTCTGATGAACATATAGCTGATAACTCTCTCTCCATTTCAGTCACTCCAAGTCCCGTTACCCGAGTCATCTTCTGCTCCTGCCATTCCAATGACTGTCCTCCTCAAATCTATTAGCCCACTCTAACCATATCAAATCAAACTCTTCAGTCTCATCTACCAGGTCCTCCACAATCTTCTTTCCCTTGCTTTTCAGCTGTTCTTTTCCATTCTTACCTTCTCTATGCGCTTCCCAGTCCTCTCTCTTTACTCCCCACTTGTCTGCTCTGCTTTGTGCCTTCTACTATGCTCCCCGGCTACTCCCCACAAACATCCACAAAACCACAGACCTTTGTGTGATGCCTACAAAAATGTGACAACAGTTAGGCTGCTGGTGCTCTGAAATCATAAGCTATCACTGCAGCCAGCATTCTCTCATTGTTTCCTTACACGGCCCTGTCTGTCTGCTTATACTTACACTGTAGCCCCTTTCAGTCTTTTTGTTCTGGGTTTGTACAGCACCAGGCACAATGGAGTCCTGGTCCAAGACTGGAGTTCCCAGGCACTACAAGAATACAAGTAAGAATACGCAGTTCCCTATGCCTCGAACTCTTCCCTACATTCATTCACCAAAGATCACTTTTCTTCTCTAGCTAGCGCCTTCAAACCCATCTCTTCAAATCTCTCCCCGCTTCTTCCCCTCATCAGTGACAAACAGCTAACCCTCCCCCTCCTGAACTATTCATCATGGGACATGTGCCTCTTGTCTTATTGAGAGCACAAGCTTCTAGAGGTGATGTGTGTGTCTATTTCACTCATACACTGTGTGTTAACTCAGAACACTATATAATGATAGTTAGAATTTCCCTTCTTGAAAGCAGATGCCATTAGAATATCTTCCATTTTTCAGAAGGCAGAGAGCAGAATGCAGTAAGACTACAGAACAGACACAATAAAACACTGAAGAGCTTTGTTACTGACACCTCCTTGTCCCTCAGTAATGTCGATTAACCACAGTGAACC